TTTAGGGCTGAAGACATTTTCGGCTCTTGGTCGACTTCTCGACTTTTCTCTTGCACAGGGGCCGTGCTAGGTCAAGGCTCCGGGCTTGAGAATGGAAAGGGTTGTGTCCGAAGTTGAGGGCTTTCCCGGCACCTGGGTGGTAGATTATACAAAGCCCCCAACGAAAAGAACTCCCCAGTGCCAGTCCGGCAAGGGAATATCCACAAGAAAGACGAAAGCACTCGATCGTTGCTGAGGTCCCTGTGTCCGCAACTTTCACATTGCAGTTGGGGTGTCCCCCGACAGTCAGGAGATGTCACAAGTCACCCGCTCAGCTCGTGGTTGAGGCCATGGTCTGATTGGGTGAACTGTCTGAACTGTCGTAGAGAACATCTCCTCGTGACAGGTTCTGGGTATATTCCCGGTGAGACTCGGTGTCTCCTACTAGTCCTAGACTGTCTGAGGATGTGGCTCGTCCGCAAGTTTCAAGGCTTTCTCACCTGAAGCCACAACTTAGGCAGATTGAGGCTGATCGGTTTTTTGGTAGGCATGTGCTCGAACAGTCTTGCGCCATCATGCAGTGGCTGCATCACAAAACGTCTTGTGTCTTCTAGTTGCTACATCTTCGGGTGGTCACACTGCGCAACAGCCTGGCAGAGATCTTCATGACCTCTCTGCACACTGCAACAAACGCTCCCAGCCCCGAATCCGTTTTGTCTGTGGCCAGCGCAGGCATCGCGCGCTTTGGCGTCTTCGCCCTGCGCAAACCAAGCCTGGACCAGGGCTGTTTCGCTTGCAGTAAGAGAAGTGCTACAACTTCATCCAATCGAGTGCCTTTCTGGCCTAGTTAGGCGGGCCTGTTCTTTGTGTCAATATATTTTCCCCTGGATGTGTGAAGCGAAGCGTCGTCCTCCCTGCACACAACAGGTCTGAGGTTGCTTGTCGAAAGTGCTGAGACCGCTTCTTCTTCAGAGATGCAATCCAATTTCCGGAACCACGAAGCAGCTCTGAAAGAGATGACTTTGCTGGCAGAAGACCACTGATACTTCCTACTTGCGAAGAGTCAGCCTGCACTTGCCCTGCACGTATAACCGGAACCAAGTACGACCCGACCAGGTGCCTTGTAGTCCAAAGATATGCTTTTGACTGCTTTCGATGTGGATGCCATGTTGAGAGGCGCCTGTGCTGCTCTGTAGAAATCCGCTACCGCGCTCTTCGTCGTCACTGCGCACCTCGGAAAAACCCAAGTGCTAGGGTCCTGGGGATTGAGCATTCTGAGACTGATAAAGTTCCAGCGCTCCATGCCATCTGCGAATGCTTATAGGTCCACAGATACATTGCCTGCAAACACATCGAAGGTCGGTTGATCTTGAGGAAGCCCAACGAGCAACGACTGCTCCGAAGCTTTCCCGTTGTTTCCTCTACATTTCCCGCAGAAGCCTTTGCAGATAGCCATGTTGAAGCAAGGTAACATGTGTGGTTGTGAGGCAACTTTGTTCAACACACAAACAGCCAAGAAAGCGAAGGCCATCAACAGCTTGATTCAAGGCTCCGCCAGGGCCAAACAAGCTGAGCCACGTCATGCAAGGTTCGCGACTTTCAATGGGGACATCGTTGCTTAACACTTTGTGTGGAGGAAAGATAGACCAGGGCTAATTTTGTGGTTGCACATACTGCGTTCGTGGTTCCATTTATGCACGTACCACAACAAGTGAAATCTACAGTATCGGCAACGTGTCTTTTTGCTGCTTCGCAAAAGCGTGGCAAAGTCAGAAGAACTGGTACGACCTTCCAGCGGCACGCTGATTAAACCCTCAACCGCAGATGCCAAGTTTTCTTTCCACCCAAAAAATGAAAACTTGGACAACAGCCGGGCATGAAGAGCTAGCCCTCGATCAGTGAGAACAACAAGTAAGCTGCAACCTCGAAGCCACGCTTGCAGTGAGCCCAGGAATGTGCAGGGAGACATGGCGTCTATGAGATCTCTGTTGATATCCGCCTTTGTAGTAAAGATCCTACATTCCGGGCTCAGCGAGTGCAGGAGTTCGCAGGGACTGAAGTCAAACTACCCTAAAACCCTTAACCTGCTCCTCCAGGGCCCACAGCTCACTTAGAGTCTCATGGGTTTTAGTCAGGAGAGATAAGAAGGGCCAGAGCTAACATATCGCCAGCTAGGCTACTCACAATCCTTAGACACAGTGTAGCCGCAATCTGAGAGTATGTGTCGCGCTGTTCCTGTCCGAAGCTGCGAAGATCTTGTTGGGAAGAAAGCTTCCATAACCCTTCATAAGCTTCTAACCCGTAACACGTAAATCTGACTGCGCCGAAGAAAGCAAGGCTTGCATTGCCGTCGACACAGTTCTCCTGGGTTGCAGTTGACGCTTAAACTACCTATGAATAGGAATCTCGATACATACACACAGACATATTTGTACATGTATGCTTACAGATAGATACAGATAGATAAACTGACAGACAGGTAGACAGATAGGGAAAACTGAACACATCCCAAATCGCGATGTAGTTCTTGCATCGTCGTTATGTGAATCGATAGGCGTTTCGAAGGTATTTGCACTCGCTTGGTAGGTGTTGGCAAGGTAGAAGAAAAGCACGCAGTGACTACCTATGTGTCAGGGAATCAAGGACTTCCCGCACCTGCTTCGAGATATCCTAAACCCTAAAAAATGTAAGCCCTAGGCCGTAGACCCTATACCGCAAGTTGCCAGTTCTTCTCTGCGGGACCGCCTCAGGCGCCCCGCCCCTGGACCAAATCTGGGTTCTTGTCAAGGAGCCTTCCTTTTCAGCTGCACCGTGAGGAAGGCCTACTATTCAGTGTATCTTACTATACATACCTCATCGCCTTAGTTTGAATTGCGTTCCTCAAAACCCGGCACCCTAAAAGCCAATAGCAAAACAGAAGCCTTACCAACCCCTACAAATATCGTTTGAAAGCACCCGTAAAGCCTACAAGACGGTGTGTTGAAGTAAGCTCCTGAGCAAGAGCACAGAACATGCTGGATTTTCATGACCTTCCGCCGTCGCTGCGCGTCCACATGCATACGTGAGAAATCATAAACATCCAACAACCTCGACAAACCATACAATGGTCATCAGTATCCAAGTTGTTTGACTGTTTGGCCAAGAGAACTCTCGACATTACCAATACTTGACATGCCTGCTGAGCTCTCCCTCACGTCACTGCTATGTCTTCGGGGAAGCGTAACCGGACGACAAAAAACCACGACCTTGGCTGGTTTATCTTCTCTTGAATGGCGGTCAGCAGACACCCACTTTCTCCCAGTCTTCCCCGACAGTGAACCGAAATACTACGTGGCGGCTGATCTCAAAACCAAGCTTTTGTTGAAAGTCATTCAAGCACGCCGTAGAACGTAGAAAGACCATCCAGCAATGTGAGTTTCGTTTCGCGTCTCCTCTGTGCACCGCCCATCTAAGCCAGTAGCCAAGTTTATTGAATGCCCTTTCGGGGTACTTGGGGTGAGCTGATGGATGCTCCCTACTATCCGGCGAACTACTCCCGCCCTGCTGAGGTTAGCTCACGCTAGCTCAAGGGTTTTCGGTGGAAGGTCTGCCCAGTGTGATGTCATGCCCGAAGCGTTCGGAAGCTTCTCAAGCAACTAGTCTGGGGTCCAGGGCGTAAGGCTTAAGGCCTCCATGATTCGGCTCTAACCTGTGGAATGCATTGTACATGCAGTGAGAAAACTTCTCTGGCACCTTTGTCTAACTCCTCGGTCAACATCCACCGATAGCCCTGAATCTGCGAAAGCCGCAACCCTCGGCAAGCCCTCATAGGTACCCTAGCCTCGAAACTTAAGCCCTAAACGGTCCTAACCCGGCACCCTAAATTCCTGAATCCTGACACACAAAACCCTGAAACCCACAGTAAAAGCCCTAAATCCTAAACTCTGGAATGAGACATCCTTGAGAAGCTGCCGCCTTTGGGTCTGTGCTTTCTGATCTACGGATCCCAGAGGTTGCTCTTCTCTGTTTCGGTTTAGGATCAATGGCTTAACGTTGAGGTACATGGGTGTTTAGGGGTTTAGGGGTTTCAGCACTCACTCTCAGACTTACCTAGGCGAGGTAACTGGTACGACGAACGCTCATTGGCGTGGCAACAGCGTGTGTAGCTCCAGGGTTTAGGATTTAGGGTTATGGGCCGACTGCAAAAATACTACAGTATGAGATGCATTCAGGGCTACCATAAGGGTCCGATGAATGCTCTTGGGGTTTCCGACTTTTCGTGGTTTCGGCTGTTTATCGGCTCTAGCGGTCACTTGTTGGAGGGTCCATAGAGTAAGGGTATATGTATGTATATATTTATATATACATATACACTATATATACATACAGATCATATTTGCATTTGTATTTACATACATATGATTATCAGTGAAAGGGCCCCTGTTTTCGAAACTCACAAATTGGTAACAGAGAAAGCAAGGGTAACGAATATTTTCGGAGCAGTAGATCTACTCGAAATAGCAGGAACAGCAACATAATCAGCCAGACTACTGAGAACATACGAACGAGCATCATCGTCTTCGACACCATGTTCATCATCGTCACCATCATCATCATCATCCTCATCATCATTGTCACCATCATCGCCATCACCACTGAGGCCACAACCGTAGATGTGACTGCTGGCCAGAACAATATCTCGACATATACCATTGGCAAACACCACTACCAAGAAGCAACATGAGTGTCACAGTCATGTCCCATCACAGACAGAGAGAAATAGGGAAACCGGCTGGCTGGCTTAGTACTTAGAGTGTGGACTGGTAGAGGATGAACAGTGGTACGGTAGTTCAAATCTTGACCATGGCATCCATAGTGACGCAAGATGAAACCGAGCTCGAAGGATCACCATCATCAAGACATGCCCATCGTCATTCTCATCATGAAAAACTGCAAAGACATTTAAGTTGGATGCCGCCTAACTTGTAGGATCTAAGAGAAAGACACCGCCTTCGAAGCGCAGCCCCTGGGAGGAATGGTCTTCAGCCGAAGAGGTTTGGAAAGAGGCAGCAAAGCATCAGGTCATCTTTCCGTCTCGGACGCTGCAGTTTCGCGCCGTCATCTCCGATGGCCTCTGACAAAAGATCACCGGAAGGCATGCTACCTCTCAAATAGTAACCTAATGTACATCATCATAATAAGTCCCTCAGACTTTCGGGTGCACTCCTTGATTAAGAAGCATCAACCGTTCATGTAGAAGTCTGAATAACTGCTAGTACTGCTCCGTCCCGTAGGTTCATATTATGAGTATACAAGATTAGAAAACAATCTCAGCGAGCATCCCATCCTTGTTCTTAAGGCTCCTATACTACTTGCTGGGAAGCCGTTGGATTTTGTAGGGCTTCGGTCTTAGACTCCAAATAAACATCACCGAAACGTGTAGAACCCTTCGAAACATACAGGTGCCTGAAAATCCCCCGAAGTTTTCATGGACCCATGGACCCTCCGCTGTGTTCCCAAACTGCTGTGAGCAAGAAAACGAAGGCACATGAAGGGCATGGGGGAAGTGAGGCTTGCTGGAACCCCCTCGCCCGCTGCCCCCGAACTGTTTTTGGCCCATTACATGCCACCAGGTCGGATCTTTATGCGGGTCACAGGCTTTCGGATTCCAGCCTCCCTCGCTGCCCCCTGCTGCAGCCTAAACCGGTGAAAATCGCTCGCAACCCTTTTTCTGCCACTGGACTCAAGTCTCGATACCCATGATACCCTAAACCCTAAAAGGATTTATATCTAGCCAGACCTCGACCTGCAATCATCTTGATTGAAAGCCCGGAACCGTCCAAGCCTCGTGTTCGGCAGGCCGTGGAACGGCCGAAGGATCCAGCCACGGAGGCTGGACGTACGGCACTTCCTCTTGGTCCGGGTTTACAAAGGAACCCTCAACGAAGCTCCCGGGTTCCAGGAATTAGGGGGCACGGATGCTTCCTCCTCATCGTCGTGATTATGGGCCTGGGCCAATTAGAATAAGGTTTTGCGGTACATAAGTAATGCTACAGTTTTGCAGGAAAGCAAGGACACTAATGTAGACCCACGGCGAAAAAGCCTCTTGCCTTTAAGGAACTTGATATCAAAACCAGAATCCTTCTCCTGGACCTTACTCGGGATTTTTGAACATCCAGGCTTCAGATGGCCTCAGGGTTCTAGGACTTCACTGTTCCAAGATTTGAGGGGCTACATGAACTTGAGATACCATGCTACTCTACAGTCCTGACTGGCAACCTCCGATCCTCTTCATAAACCCTGCTTCTCGCCCCTGAAACCCTAAAGCGAGGTACTTCTTCTACCAGGAAGCACAAAAGCTCCGGGCTTCCCGGCTTCCGTGTCGTTGAGGGTTTCCGGCGCTTTGGGGTTCCGGGGTTCAGAGTTTAGGATCGATCGTGGCGGGTCTTTTTAAAGTCGGCGGTTTAGGGGTTCAGGATTTAGACTGCTTATGGCCTCAACGTGAGATTTCGAGAGGCTCTGGCCGTGGGGTGTTGACTGAGTCTGCTTGCGCAACCGAAGGAGAGCTCCAGTGGTAAAAGGGACGACAGCAACCCTGGAGGGCTAAGGCCTAATAATCCTGACTGCGCATCGCTTAAGCCTACTTTAAGTTTTAGGGTTTAGGGCATATACCCTAAACCCGGTAAGTCCAAATCGTGCTGCCTGTCCCACGCTCTCTCTCGGCGCTTGGGCATGTCCCACAGCCAGGAGCACGGTCCGCAAGAGCAACCGAGCCGACATCGCATCCCAAGAACCGCTCTCCGAATTCAAGCTGAGGTCAACTGCTCGGTGGCTCGCACTGCGTCTTGAACCCATCCCCATATCCCGGCCAAGGGTAGTAGTATGTCTCAACTGTGCACCTACCACGTCCCAAATCCCAAGGCCCCAAAGCCCCTAAACCCTAAACCCGGAACCCTAAAGCCTAAACCCTAAAGCCTTGAATGCAAAACTAATGCTCGGCCTGGCGGTAGAGCAGCGGTGGTTTCGTTCTGATGCTGCGAGAGGGGCAGCAGGCCAGCAGGCTCCGCCCAAACCTGAGATTAGCCATTTCTGCAGTGTAGGGTTTAGGGGTTTTAGGGGTTTAGGGGTTTAGGGGTTCAGGGGTTTAAGGTTTAGGGTTTTAGGGTTTAGGTTTAGGGTTGTAGGACTAAACCCGAAACCGGGTGCAGGACCAGTGTGTAGGACTCAAGGTTTCGATTCTTTCAGGAGCCCCATTGTCCGCCTACCTGAAATTTTGGGAGTTTTGGGCTTAGACTGAAAGCCCCTCGAATTTCTCTCACAAGGGAGTATGAATGTTTTCAGTAGGCTTGTCCCCTAAACCCTAAACCGTTTGTCGCCTCTGACTATTCCCATAAGGACGCCCCAAAAGTATGCTCACTACAAAAGCGTAAGGAGCCCTCTATACACACTCACCAAGGAACTAAGATAACCATGACTGACATCTCATATGTCGTGGGTGATGGGGTTCAAGCTTGCCGCTTCATTGTGGGTTTCAACATGCGGATAGGTCTCCAGCATCCTAATCCTGTTCCGGATGCTTTCCAGCCGCAGGCATGCCTTGCATAAGACTAAAGCGACACTCAAAACATCCCCGTGCCGATACTAAGGAGCCCTCGCCAAAAACCAAGTACAAACTCGACGTCATACCAGTCCCGGCTTTAGAGCTATGGGTCAGAACGCGGGCTAACCCTAAACTCCCAAACCGCTACACCGTGAAGCTCTAGACCCCGAAACACCATGAATATGGCCCTAGAGATGATGTCCATCTCCGAAAAGCTGTCTTAATCAGAAACTTACATTAAACGCTCTAGCATACACGAGCGAAAACCGATACAAAGCCTTCTACAACCTTGGAGGGTTCAGGCTGTTCAGGGTGAAGCTTAGCTTTCTTTTTACAAAAAACCCCGCAAAAATTTGCAATTGATGTGGGTTTCTGGGTTTTACTAGAGGATAAGCAACCAGCTTGGTCTGTCCAACCCTCTAGCTGCTCCTGGCGAAACTACAGCCCTTTGAGGAGTGTAACCTAGGCTTCGGAGGCCACCAGCAGCAGTCAAAGCCAAAGCACATGCCACTGGGAAAGCCACGCTCGAACCCAATGAGCCCCAGCAAATGATCCCAGAGTCCTGTTTTGGGTGGACATTGCAAGAACTACGTGACAGGTCCGCTGGAATCGCCCAGAAGCTGGCGCGCAGCATCCCACATGGTGAATGCCAGCTGCACGACACCCCAGATCAGGAAGGCCAAGTACAGTAGGAACACCTCTGGCTGTTAAAATCGGAAGGGACTTTTGGGCTGCCAACCCAGTTGACGGCTGGGTTCAACAATTAGCTAAGTCCTCTGGTCATTTAAGAATGCCAGTATGATATGCCGCATCCGAAGGTTTGGGGTGTTCAGTTGCAGCAGGGGTTGTGGGCTAGACATCGACTGACAGGCACCGTCGTCTAGCCACGCAGGGTAACATCTGCATCCAGCCGACTTCGAGGAATGCAAAAACCCACTTGCTGTGCTCTCTCGATGTTCTACCTGCAATACCCACGCAAATGTGGTAGCTCTTGAAGACCTGAGCTTCAAACCATCGCCCCTGCAAGCAAACGTGTCTGTTTGGAGGCCTGTCAGCCATAGGACTTTACATTTAATAGACTATATTATACTATACTATACTATACTATAATATAATATAATATAATATAGTATAATTTAAGCTCCTTCAACCCATAGCAAAGGCAAAGCACCAGGAGATCCGCCGGCGTCCGCTGCACGACGCCCACCTGCGACAAGAAACAGTTCAGAAGGACCGCAGGTCAAGTCATATTATATATTATATACTATATGTTAATATATATATATAATAATAATAATCATAATAATAATATTAATAACAATAATAATAACAATAATAATAAGAATAAAAATAATGATAATAATAATAATAATTATAATTATTGTTATATTATTATATATTATAGCCCTCACTTCACCGAAGGACTGAAAATTGGTCCAAGATCGAGAGTCATAAGCTGGAAACCACCACAGGAAAGCGCCACCTGATTTGGGAAGCTCTCCTCGATCAAATCGACAGCCCAGTTCGTCAGCGGGATGAGCTTCCGATCGGCGTAAACGCCGAAAACCTTCAGGGAGCCAACACGGGAAACTTTATTTTTGCAGTGCACTCTTGAACACGAATCAAAAGCTCAGCTCCGTCAGCTGCAAGTCAGCCTTAGAAAGAACAATATTTGGGTAGTTCTCTAAAATAGGGTTCCCCTTTTTCGGTCCCCAATATAGTACGGCACCCTTATAATAAAGACCCTAAAAAGGGGACCCTAATTTAGAAAACTACCCATGTGTTCTCCTGGTTGTGCGTAACTGAGGGCAGTGGGCATTCCGATCGCCGACTCTGCAGGGCAGTGATGGGCTCTAAATACCAAGGGTAAAGCGGCCTACCATAAATAGTGTTTTAAAGTTTAGAGGTTTAGAGTTTTAGGGTTTCGGGTTTAGGGTTTGTGTTTTCGCATGTTTATGATCTCAGAACTTGGAGTTATAATAGGGTTCAGGGTTTAGGGCTTCAAAGCTGCCCAGGGAACCCAGCACCTCTTAATCCCGTACCTCTTAATCAAGGAATATGTTTTAAATCATGAGATCGGGCCCTTTTTGGTCTAAGGTATACTCCTTAACTAAGGGGTATCCGGCCCTCCGGGCACCCACCCGAAAGGTGCTGCTGAACCGTAGACCCTATAGACACAGAAGACATCCCAAGACCGCCAGGCCCTCACTTTCTGCCCGGGCTCGAGCCGCTGTTCTTGGTTACGGGATATATGGCTTTTGCGGTTTACGCTCTTCCAACTCTTTTTCGGGTCAGGGTTTTAGGGCACTGAACTCCGCCGCAACTTCATGGAGTGTGGCATAGCATAAAGAGTACCAAACTAACGCTCCCTTCTCTAATAACCAAGCAAATGCAATCAGAGCCATGCTCAACGTCTAGTACATTTGGGATTTCGAGTAACGGAACGCGGAAATTGGAAATTCCAATCTCTACCAGCCCAACAAATCTACGTGTTCAGGGCTCCCTTTGTTCTGATTTTCTTACATAGCCGCCCTTGAGAAGGTAGGCTTCTTGCGCTGCAGGTGAACGAACTCCACTCTTCCCTTTTTTGCTGGACGGCTAGAGGAGTTGGGGTCCTGTGCTATAGTTTTTGTATACTCTACGCCAAAACCACATTGAAATTACTCATGCGCCTGTCTGCAACGCTTGTACACCCTGTTTTTAGAAGGAGTCACAAGGGGTTGTGGTTCCCGAATTTCCGGATCCGAAAGTCGGACAACGCCTGACTACTTGTCCATAGATAGTGGGAGAACCTGAGCCCACCCCAAGCCTCGATCCCAAGCTCTAGAACCCTCAATGCTAACCTCGCCCTGAGGACGAAAACCTAAACCTGAGGCTCTTTGAACTCGCAGCCCTAGGCGCAGCCACAAGAAACCTCCAGCCTCCTCCGTTTCACAGCATTGGAGTGAAAAACCAAGGGTTTAGGGCCTAGGAAATGCTTTTTTGTGATTCCTTGTCGGATATCAAAACAGAAAACTAGCCTGACAGACAACCTCAAGCTCGAAAGGCCGGGCCTGAATCGCAGCCACTGTCTGATGGGCGCTATCTGCAAGGAAGTGTCGAACATCCTCCTGTTGAAACTTGGGTTCCAGATTTTAAGTAAGGCTTATTAACTGGGTCTCTTGAGGCCACCACCAGATTTTGGGAATAAGGCTATAAGGGCACTCACAAGTTGTCCGGCATTGCCACCTAGTTAAAGTTGGGGGGCCAACAGGGCTCAGAGCGACAAAGAAGCTCCGGGGACGTGGCAAGTAAGCCTTGAAAGCAAAAACACTGGTTCTAAACCTACTAAGTCCTATGATCCTGAACCCCCTGGATGCCCCGACGGCCCCCCTATAGCCCCGCTATCCGACGCTGATAAAGAAAACCTTTATGCACCACGAAGTCACTAAGCCCCCCACCCCCCACCCTTTTGGTAGTCCGGCCCGGTACTCTGTAAGTGGGGAACATTCCTTAAACTGAAAGAGTTTGTGAGGGCTCCCCTCTGCTTAAACGAAGAAATACTCCTTAAATCAAGAGTTTTCATCAATGCTTTCTAAGAAGAACATTCCTGAAATTCTGGAGAGCCCCTCACTCTGACCTCATGTGCGTTGCTTGCCCAACAGGTGTTTTTTTTGTGTTGCTGGGACGAAGCAAGGCTATGGGTCGGGCCTGGTGCGCATCTCTGCTATAGTAGACATCTTGCTTCAGGAGGCGCTGAGTAACTGTTCTTAGCAGTGCTTTGCGAATTATCACAAAACTGTCGCAGTTGAGGAGTCAATGCTGAGCAGTAGTAGTGCTGGCACCAACAGCAGGAGCAGGAGCCGACGCAGGAGTAGGAGCATGAGCAGGAGCAGATGTAGGAGCAGGCGGAGTAGGAGTAGGAGTAGTAGTCGTACTGGCCGCAGTGGTAGCAGTAGTAATAGCAACTGTAGTAGAGGTGGTGGTAGTAGTAGTAGTAGTAGTAGAAGTAGTGGTAGTAGCAGAAGTAGGAGTAGTAGTAGTAGTAGTAGTAGTAGTAGTGGTAGTAGTAGTAGTAGTAGTAGTAGTAGTGGTAGTAGAAGAAGAAGTAGTAGTAGTAGTAGTAGAAGTAGTAGTAGTAGTAGTAGTAGTAGTAGTCGTAGTAGTAGTAGTAGTACTAGTAGTAGTACTAGTAGTAGCAGTAGTAGTTGTAGTAGTAGTAGTAGTAGCAGTAGTAGTAGTAGTAGTAGTAGTAGTAGTAGTACCTAAGCGCGCCTCCAGGCGCCTGGTGTTAACCTTGCTGCTTCAGCCGTTTTACT